ACGCATTTGACAGTGAAAAATAAAATTCTCTGAGAAAAGAGATCATAACAAAAGATAAAAGTCAGTGATAAGCTGAGAAAATAGCCCCACTATATGTGATTCATAAAAATGAATCAGAAAGAGGAAACACCCAGTAGAGAAGTGAGCAAAGAGTGTGAAGAGGTGATTCACAAAAGAAGAAGTATATTAATTAAGCAGTAAAGAGGATATATTAATTGGGCAGGAGTCTTGGTTGCCAGTGACAGAAATCCAATCTGGACGAGCACAGACATAGGAGAACTCTCTGGGAGGAGACCGAGGTGGCGTGCATGTCAGAGGGAGGGAGCGGAGTGCGGGCCTGGGATGGCCTCGGGACCCCCGTCACCTGGAACTGGGACCTCCTGGCACCCTTCACTGCCCTCCTTATTGCCCTCATCTACTTCTTTCAATCTACCAACTTCACATTTCCTCACTATCTTCTCCATACAATGGGGAAATGTTCATAGTTTCACATCGACAGCTTCTACCAATGGAGAGAAGACTGGTCTTTCCTTCTCCAATTCTGTTTTGGAAAACCTTAGGCAGCGGCGACCCCCCCCCCCCCCCCCCCCCCCTCCCTGGCTGTCTTGGGTCAGTGGATCACTCCGGGACAATTACCATAGATTGCAGGCATCAACTCTTAGATTCTCAGATTGCAGGTCATAGGGGTGAAGTTATAGGAATATGGTGGCTCTGGTTACAGCCAGAGAAGCTGGGGTGGTTTCTAGGGTTAAAAAAGAGGGTACTGGTCAGACAGGCAGTAATAGGGACCACTACTCATGAAAAGATGCTCAGTCTCACTAGTCAGCAGAATCTTATATACGCAAGATCTTAGATTGGCAACAATTTAAACACTGATAATGCCTGGTTAAGGTAGTGTGGGTAAATAGATTCTTTCAAACAATATGTTCATGCCCTGGCTGGGTGGCTGTTAATTTGGAGCATTGTCCTGTACACCAAAGATTGCGGGTTCAATTCCAGGTCTGGGCATATACCTGCACGACCCACATTGGGGACCGGGCAACCCCTGTGGGTGGCGATTTTGGCGGAGGGGAGCGGAGGACAAGAACGAAGGAAGTAGGGACGGTCCTGATGCCCTTGGGCATGGCGCTGAGGGTTTGCTTTAACAGCAACCACCATCACTTTGCTTATTTAAAAAAATGTCTTTATTGATTTCAGAGAGGAAGGGAGAGAGAGAGAAAAAAAACACACCACATTAATGATAAGAGAGAATCATTGATCGGCTACTTTCTGCACGCCCCCCACTGGGGATGGAGCCTGTAACCTGGGCCTGTGCCCTTAGCCGGAATTGAACCTAGGGCCCTTCAGTCTGCAGGCTAGCGCTTTATGCACTGAGCCAAGCGGACTAGGCCTAGGGCATCACTTGCTTATTTTATCTTTATCTCTGTGTGATGGTTGGTGGGAGGGGAGCACTTTGATTCTTGTTTGACAAGCTGGGAGTTGAAGAAGAGAGAGCCTGACTGTCTGAAATCCTGAAACCAGGGCCAGCCGGTGAGCGGGAATACTCTGGGATGCACAGAATCCGAGTGGATGTCCCTGAGAGGATTCAGGCCCTCCTGGGTGTAGCATGCTAGCCGAGGGAAATGTGATGATGAAAGAGACCGCTCCTCCCTTTCTGGGACTTCCAGCCTAATTGGGGGAAGGACGGAACACGGGGAACACGGCGTTTGTGGGATGGAAGTACAAAGGCGGCCTCGATAGGGAGGGGCTGTCAGTAAAGGCTTCATAGGGAGGTGCATGGGGCTGAGCTGGAAGCTGGTGATTGATAGTGGGAAGCTGGTGACTATTAGCAGAGCCCTTACAGAGAAATTGCTAGAGATGCGTTTTTCACTGCAGTCCGATGAGTTATGTATCGTCATTTGCACGTGACAAATCCAGCAGAGAGGCGAATGTACTTGCCCAAGGTCGTGTAGCAGGTGAGCGTTGGAACTTGGATGTGATCCCGAAGCCAGAGTTGTGGGGGAGAGTTTCGCCTCCTGAGGCTCCGGGCTGGAATGCTGTGGGGACAGGGGGCCCTGGCAGCGGGGAGGGCAGAGCCAAATGGTGGTGAGGCGGTGACGGGGTGTGAGGCGGCGTTTGCATGGGGCGTGGAGCAGTTGTAGGGACTCAGGGAGCAGGAAGGCTGGAGGTGGGACTGTCTGTCGTTCGGGGAGGTCTCCGAATGCCAGGCGGAGAAGCCGAGAGTTAAACTTTTAGGCAAAATGGGGCCACTGAGCACTTTTGAGCAGAGGAGGCTGATGCTGGCTGGGTTAGAAGGCGCTGGGTCCGGCGCACAGACTGTGAGGCTCAGTGGGCTGTCGTTCTGAGAAGTGGGTGGGGGAGGCCAGGGTCCTGCAAAAAAAAAAAGGGGGGGGGGTGGGGTTATTGGGGGGGGGATGGGTAGGAGCAGCATTGGGGAGGCCGAATCTATAGCACTGACCCCTGATGGGATGTGAGGGGCGTGGGACAAAACAATGAAGTCTGAACCCAGGGGACACCGCAGGGCAGCTGGGCGGTGCTGCTGGCTCTGGGAAAGGGCGCAGGTGTGGTTCGGCCCCAGCGGGTGGAGGAATGGCCAGCACAGAGCCTCCTGGCCGAGGTGAGGCGTTGGGAGGTGCCGCACGGCTGCGGCTCTGGAGGACGAGGGAACAGATGGCTTTGTTGTTTTTTTCCTTGCCAGGCCCCCACGCCCTCTCACCCTGGCCGCAGCACCTCCATTTTCCCAGGAGGACCACGCCTCATGGTCAGCCCACGAGCTTGGTGGGGGATGACTTCTCATTGGCTCCACCCTGGCCAATCAGAGCACGGCTTCTCTCTCTGACCTCAGGGACCAGGTCAGGGATGAGGATGTGATTCAGGGTCCAGAGAGGGCGGAGGGAAGCCTGGGAATGCTGGCCGCTGTTGTCACCATCTTCCTGAGAATAAAGGCGACACGGGGGAGAGACGCAGGCCTCATCGCATTGTCTGGTTGTGGCTGCCAGCCATCCTGGGAGCCAGATGTACACCCCCACCCCTTCCTGTTTAGGCAAATCGAAGAGTTGACACTTACAGTCAAAGGATGCTGACTCACCCTGGGCTAGAAGCCACATCTTCAGGGGTTACCTGCCTTAAAGGGCCCGAGAAGGCAGGCCTGGAGGGGAGGGTCCTGGATGAAGAGGGGCTGCCCTGAGTCAAGGAAGGCTGAGTGAGCACTTATCCTAGACTTTGCCTGGACACAGAGGCAGGTGCGTTTGATGTTTGCCACAAACAATACAATCCTGACCTGGCTGCCCTTATGGACTCCAGTTATGGCAAAAAGAAAAGAAAAAAAAAAATCAGGAAACAAGTAAACAAACAGGCCAGTCTCCATGGATATGTGAGCCCAAGGTGTTGGGAACAATGGCTGAGTGTGAGTCCAGAAGTGGATGCTGCCTGCACAGACCTTAGTTATATCCCAAAGCTGCTTCCTGGTGGGAGCCCGGACACGTGTGTCAATTAATTGATAGCCAGCCCCTCCCGGAGAGGGCAGCACCTCCGATAAGCCTTGGTTTCACCGTTATTAAAATAGTTATAAACTTAATGCGGCGTTTATGCACTCTTAGGGCACTCTTTACAACTGCCCTTTAGGTAGATAACTGGGATATTTTTACCCCAGTTCCACAGAGGAGAAAAAGGGGGCTCAGAGAGAGGCCTTCACTTGCCCAAGGTCACAGTTATTAATGGGAAAATCAGGATTTGAACCCAGGCCCCAGCATTGGTATCCTTTCAGCCACCATGTTTCACTTCCTCACATTGGTGTTGGCAAAAAATTTTCAGTAAAAGTAGCTAATACTTACTGTATACGTCATATTTCATTGAGTCCCTACCACAAATCAATGAAGTAGGCCAACTGGTGAATCCCATTTTATAAACGAGGAAACTATAGAGGTATAGAGGATTTAGGATTTCTTCCCAAGTCCTTCAGCCAGTGGGAGGCAGAACTATATTTTGAGGTTATTTTTTGAAATTTGGGAGCACAGGATGGGTGATAACTGTAATTCCTCAACCTGGTTTTTCTCAGTTATGATGTTCTTCACGCGTAGATTTTATATGAAAGAAACAAACAGGAGCCTGGCTGGTCTGATCAGAGGTTGAGCATCACACGCCCGGCTCAATCCCCAGTGGGGGGGGGGGGGTGCGGGAGACAGCCGATCAGTGATTGTCTCTCATCATTGATGTTTCGCTTCCTCTCTGAAATCAATAAAAATATGTTTTAAAAAAAGAGACATACGAGGAGAGTGAACAATGTGGCCAGAGAGTAAGAGCAGTTTGATTTGTCTGTTATTGTTGGAACACCGGACCCTGGGTTTCACTGACATGGAAGTAATTGGAAAACGTTAAAACAAGAGAGTAAGGCTTACAAACAGTGTCGCACCTTTAGGGTTATGTAAATTAGCTCCTTGGCGAAGAAGAAACCCACGTACTACTGTTTGCGGGCTGGCTGCCCGCTGCGGGCGCTGTGGAGTGGGAGTGTGACAATTTTATTGTCATTGAGGACCCGTGACAAGGCACATTCCAGCTGCTCACACTCCCCCAAGTTCATGAATTGGTTCAATAACAAAAAGCCATTTTCATGTGAAGGTAAGGGGTAGGGACATCTGCTTGATTAATTTCTGACTTTTCTTTTTTGAAAACGTGTTAGAATTTGTTGTTAGAAAAAAAGATGGCTCTGGAGACTGGTAGCCTAGAAGCTTCGGGAGGACTGGCCACGTGTCTGTGGCTTTTTGTTGTGTGACGGGTATACATGAGGTGCTCAATAAATACCTTTTGAATGAATGATGAATCCAGGATCCAGACTCTGGCCCATGCCAGGCCCACTCCTCCCCAGGAGATGCCTGAGGCTGGCAGAGGACCAAAGGCGAATGGAAGCTGAGTCCCAGCTCATGTGGAGGCCCAAGGTGGGGCCCTGGACAGCGAGGGTAGGCGGCCCAGTCTGAAAGCTCAAGGGCTCCTGTCTTCCTCAGGCTCAGCTCCAGTCTCACCTCTCCCACCTGCCAGGAAGGCTGGAAGCCCCTCTCCACCGGGAAGACGGAGCCAGGGAGAGAAGACATTGCAGGAAGCCTCGGGGCCTGGCTTGGAGTTGGCTGGAGCTGTGGCTGGTAACGGCTCTGGCCCTGGCTGCTCCCAGGGGGTGTAGAGTTGGGCACTGAGGTGACCTGTCTGGGGAGACCTTGCTTCCACCCTCTGGGACCTCTAGGTCACCCTGGCCTCACTGCTGGGGAGCTGTCTTACTCAGGAGCTAACTTGTTATGGGTCCCTGAACGTGTGCTGTGCACTGTGCCAAGTACTAAATCCATTCTCACTGGTGTTTCCCTTTAGGACTTCAATTTCACCTCCAGTTTCCCTTTCTGTTCCAAAAATGTGTTAATATCTTTACCCCATTCTACAGCTTAGCATGCATTCTCTCTCAGTCCTTAGAGGGATCTTACTAGGAATGTGTCCCCATTCTCCCCATTTTGCATATGAAGAAACTGAGGCTTAAAGAGGGTAAGTAACTTGCCCAGGGTCATGCCTCTTCTCAATTGTTTAAACCAAGCAAGGGAATATGACTCTTACACTCACCTTTCTTCTCTGCGGGGCCCAATCCCCTGGTTTGGGTTAGGGAAAGAAGGTCCAGACTCTGCTTGGTGGATTATTTGTCCGAGTTACTGGTTTTTGCTCCATCACAGGGACCTGGGAGGTAGTTAAGGGCTTTATGCTCAGTTATCTTGTATATATGTATTGGGACAAGGCCACTGCCCATCACATTCTTCATGGATCTGTTTTAGCAAAGCTGACTGTGAAGTGGATTTCTGTAATGTGAACTTGAGTAAAGTGAATTACAGTAAAGTGAATTCTATTTCCTGATTGCTTCCTTCCTAAAAAATAAGATCATTCCCAGAAAGTGTCCCAGAGGCTACAGCCTGCAGAGGAGCTGGGCTTTGAGTGGTGGGGCCTGGGACCTGCTTTTGGCCACATGCCCATCCCCAGGCCTGGCTCTCCCCCACCCCATGGCCAGGGGGCTGCTCCTGGCACTGGGTTCTTCCGTGCCCAGTAGCACGGGGCCCTGGTTGCACCAGGAGCTGTTTTTCACCTAGTGCAGGGGTCACAAGGGCTTGGCCCACACACTATTTTAAAAATCAGAACATTTCACATACCATTCCCGATATAAGACTTCTCTTAGTAAATCACAAGTTCTAGGTAAGAATTAGGTAAGAATGTTTTCATGACAGCATTTGTCTATAATTGGAGTTTGTTCGATTATTTTGGGGTCGACATGTCACCACACACCACACTGTTCCCTCTCGCCTCACACCAAGTCCCCGTGCTCCATTGTGTCACCTGACGGGCCTCCGGGTGTGGGGCCCTTGTGCTTTCCCACAGTGTATTTGCCTCACAAACTTCGTTATGTAATGGGCCAAGTTCTTCTTTGAAAAAAACAAGCCAGTTGTGCAGCCACAGTTTGCTTAAAGTGTAATTTCAGCAGGCACTGGAAATCTTGCTCATTTACTGTGGAGCCCTGGCAGGAGCCCTATGTAGGTATTAGCAGTAGGAATATGTCGGAACCAAGGAGCCAGCAGGCATGACCTGGGGCCTTCCCCCAAGAAAGGAAAAGTCACACACAAAGCTTCCTGATCGAAGCAGTATTCAAGGGGAAGACCCTTGAACTTCAGGGAGACTGCAGGAGGAAGGGAGGGGGTGAGAGTGGGAGCAGGGTGGTGGGGGAGGGGGAAGGCAGGTGAACACTCCCCCCCTCCCCCCTCCCCCCGGTAAACATTCCACAATAAAGGAAATGGAAGCCGTGAGCTGGGAAATACCTGCCTGTAGGTTTGAATGATGCTGTTTACATGTCCTTACACGAAAGACTATTGTGGGCGAGTTCTTAATGGGCTGTGTCTGTCTGTCAAGGGGAGAGGCTGGGGTGGGGGAGGGGCTCCCGTTGACGTGGAAATGGCTAGAAATGCTGGAAGCTCTGCTGCTTGCATGGCATGTCTTTCCAATTACCATCAGCCAGGGGATTACAAGTGTGTGTGGGGGGAGGAGGTGCGTGTGCGTGTGCGCGTGTGTGTGTGTGAGTGTGTGTGTGTGAGTGTGTGTGAGTGTGTGTGTGTGTGAGTGTGTTTGTGTGTGAGTGTGAGTGTGTGTGTGTGTGTGTGAGTGTGAGTGTGTGTGTGTGTGTGTGTGAGGGTGTGTGTGTGAGTGTGTGTGAGTGTGTGTGTGAGTGTGTGTGAGTGTGTGTGTGTGAGTGTGTGTGAGTGTGTGTGAGTGTGTGTGTGTGTGTGTGTGAGTGTGTGTGTGTGAGTGTGTGTGTGTGTGAGTGTGTGTGTGTGAGTGTGTGTGTGTGTGTGAGTGTGTGTGTGTGTGTGAGTGTCTGTGTGTGTGTGTGTGTGTGTGTGTGTGAGTGTGTGTGTGTTGTTTTCTGAGCCCAGAGAGGGTTTTCCGGTCTGCGGAGGAGAAGGTCCCCCTCCCAGCGGCCGGGGGCTGGCCGGATGAGCGGCGGGAGAGTCGGACGTTCTTGGTTTCCTGGGTCTGGGTGGAGGGTGGCGTGGATGGAGAGGAGCCTGGCCCTGAAGATTTCAATTAAACTTTGGACCGGCTCGCCCAGGGAGGTGGCACGACTTCCTCCGGAGGCTGAAGAGAAAGAGCAGAGGTTCGATTCCATCTGGCACGCTGGGCGTGGCCCTCCCTGCCCGGCGGCTGGGATGGACCCAGTGATCGCCCAGCCTTCTTTGTTTTGAGACTAGACACCCCCCCTTCTCCTCCCCCCTCCCCGAAAGTTCTGGATCCTGAAAGATTTAGTCTCAGCACTTCAGAATCACAGCTAGGAAAGAAAGACCCAGAAGCTGGATGCTCTGGCTTGGGGGCAGCTAGCCGGAAGATGCCCACCTTCTGCGGACACGGAGTAGCTGCAGGGGCTTGCGCCGCCGAGGCAGAGAGTGAGTGGGACGAGAGAATCCCCTCCCCTGTGGAAGTGGCTGTGCCCTGACTGTCTCAGGGCCGGCGTTTACGTGCCCTCACTTCGTTGTCTGGCAGTGGTTTCCACTCTTCTCCGGGCTTCTGATCCCCTCCATCCCCCCAAAGCGGGGTGATGGTATGGCTGGTGTCAGGGTTAAAAGTGTCCCTTTTCATTCTTAAAAGGGTCCCTGTTTGGACAATCCATTATAGTCGCTCTACCGTGCCAGGCCAGGAAAAGCTCAGTAGAAAACGTTGTTTTGGGAGGGGGTGTTGAAACCAAGGCATTTGAAAAATGTAATTTTTTTCCATTTTAAATATGTATATATATATATATATATTTTTTTTTTCCTGTTCTTTTTTTGTCATCTAAATGACATTGCAACCTTCAGAGCCTAACTTCTTGCTGGAAAGAGAGGAAGCGAGTTTTGCTATTGAGAAAGATTATTAAAATAAATAATAAAAAAACAAACTAGCACAACAAATGAGAGAACTGGGGAGCTTCCCAGTCAGGAGCCCTAACCCTGCTGGGGGCTTGGGGGCCGCATTCTTTTTAAAATATATTTTATTGTGTTTTCACAGTGAGGAAGGGAGAGGGATAGAGTCAGAAACATCGATCAGCTGCCTCCTGCACACTCCTCACTGGGGATGTGCCCGCAACCAAGGTGCATGCCCTTGACCGGAATCGAACCCCGGGACCCTTCAGTCCACTGGCTGTTGCTCTATCCACTGAGCCAAACCGGTTTCGGCTGGGGGGCTGCATTCGTGCCCCTTGGAGCTGCCTCTGTCAGCATGGGGCAGCCCGGGACAAGCATGGTTTTGAAAGGAAAGGGGATGCAGAGAGTCCTCGACTTGATGCCATGCAGCCGGAACATGGAGGAATGCAGATGCCCGGGCCAAAGGGCCCCAGGCCAGAGGAGCAGGATCCCTGCCAGGGCTCTCAGTGCTTCGCTGGGGGCTACGTGGTCTGTCCTTGAGCATGGCTGATTGCAAGAGTGGGGACTACGGACTGAAAAAAAAAAAAAGAAATCCAGGTTCTAATTGTTTCTGTTAAGAGATGAACAGGCATAGTAAGCATTTTAAGGGTTTATTTGAGCAAAAATCCCTTCAAATCAAGCACTGCCAAACCAGACGTGGTTAGGAGTGCTCCTCCAAACGGGGCCTGGGGATAGACTTTTATAGAGAACGTGTGGAAGCAACGAAAGAAAATTGTTTGATTGGCTATAGCTTCAAGCCGAGTTGGCTGTTTGTGATTGGTCGCCTCTGGCGTTCTGTTTTCGTAACCTTGAGACATTAACAGACTTAGGTTTTGGTTTGCTTATGTTGGCTGCCAGGGCATTAGAGCCACCTAGGTCCAGTGGCCTTGTTGAATTAGCTTAACACTTCCCAGCTGGAGTGACCTATAGCCGCTGGTTCTCCTACAGCCTCGGTTTTTCCATCTGTGAAATGGGGATGGTACCCTCATCTATCCCCAGGGCTTCTGGTGAGAACCGAACGGAGGGCAAAGGGCATCCGTGATCTCAGATGGCCCATGTCCACAGGAGGGGATGGCCCCGGGCCCCTGTGTGGTCCTGAGGCCTGCTGACTCCTTTGGGCAGAAAGGAGGAGTGGCCCTGAGCACCTTCGTGTCAGTGACCCAGGACATTTGACCTTCAGTGCACTCTCTTCGCAGCCCTGTGAGCCTATGACAGGTTCAACGAGGCTTTGCCAAAATGTGCAAGTTGCTTTTCCTAATACAGGTTTTTCTTCAGATTTCGTCCCAATACGGCTAATCTCGCTGGGAACATCTTTTGCCAAAACAAAGCTGGCAATGCTGTAGAAAGAGGCAGTGTTATATGTGATTATGAAACATGGCTTAGTGCCTGGCACGTAGGATATATTCATTTTTTTTTCATTTATTCATCCACCCAACAAGCAGGTACTGAGACCGGCTCTGGTCCCAGGCTCCGGGGCAATTGGGGTGGCTGGGCAGATGAGGGATCTGTCTTGATCTGGGGACTTGCCTCTTTGAGGGAATCACCTGCCAATAACACAGGTGACTTACAATCTGTTAAAAGAGAAAGACCAGGACACCAAAGGTGGAGGGCTCAGTGGGAAAGTTTTCCTGCCAGCTCGGGAACCCGACAGCCTGGGATCTTGACTGTGAGGCATGAGGTCTAGGCAGGGA